GACGAATTTCTCTTTACATTTATTGATAGGTACTAGTTTCTTTCCAGCAGGCAAGAGTTAACTTACCTCCTCTTGCTTTATGTGTATGAGCCTTAAAAATGTTCTTTTCTGTTTGCCTAGCATGGACTCATGACACAGTTGCTGCATTTAGCCCACAATTGTCTGACGTTTGATTTCATTGGAACCTCAACGGATGAATCATCAGATGACCTGTGCACTGTTCAGATTCCTACTAGCTGGAGACCAGCTTTTTTAGACCATACAACGTTAAAATTATTTTTTGATCTTTATCATTCGTTGCCTAGCTCTCTGTCCTCTTTAGTGAGTATAATAATCACTTACGATCAAGCATTCCTGAGAATGTTGCTCTATATTTATCTGTTCTTTGCCAAACATTATGAATTTTTACTAAAATGACACCAAACTTACCAAGGGTGAGGTGTGTATTCTTATCAGATCAGCATTATTATTGCGAACAATACATTCTCAGGATTTTTACAAAATAACCAAAATTTCACAAGTTTTGTCATTCAGTTGGACCGCGTTCAACAGAAAGGGACCAAGCCACATCAGTTGTTGCCAAATTTAACTGGGCAATTTAATTTTTTATGAAAGAACTTCTGTGCGGATACTTTTGAAAAGGAATTTATCAGGATTTTTAATTTTCCAGGAAATCGCTTCGTACTATGGAGAAAATTCACTGAAATTTGTACGAAAACCCGCACAACCGTTTTCATGGAAAAAATTAAATTACCCGATTAAATTTGGCAATAGCTGATGTGGCTTGGTTCCTTTCTCTTCAGTCCAGTTAGTGCTTACAACATGCTTGCATTATTCCTGTTGCAGTTGGAGTTAGAAATTTGATTCTCAAGATAAATAGTGAAAATAGAAAAAAGTCGTAAAAAAATCATTCTCATCGGAACTTTCCTTTTACTCTTTAACGAACCATGAGGTGTAAGGAAATATTACGTCTATATTGGCCCGAAGTTCAGGGTATTTAATTTGAAAATTCGCAAACAAGAATTTTTGTGGAGCAGGACATACAAGATGTTTAGTGACTAGGAAGTCAGGGAGATAAAATTAGACAGGAAAAGAAAAGGCACAACAGAGAAAGTTGCAAACTCCCATGTAGGACTGTGATTTTTTGCACAACTTCATGGCACTTCAATACCGAGCCCGGCAGTGCTGTTTCTCAGTCCGTAGTGAATTTTCCCCTCAGAAATTTGAGCCGCTATCAAACCTTTTCGCCAAGATGTTTATTTTTGTGTTCTTTTTGGAAAGGGGGGGGGGGGTAAAGAGCCCAGGAGAATCAGGGAAAGTTAGGAAGATGGAAAATCTAAGGGTTCGGAAAAACCTGGGAAGTCAGGGAGGAAGGACTGAAAATTTTGCTACTGCGGCAACAATATTTTCATTTCTTTCATTCGATTTTCATCTTTTTCATTTGTTTCATGTATGCTGATGATTTTTAACTGTCCCGCTGGGCGTTGAGTAGTTACTTTTAAATTTTGATTTCGACAATTTTCTACTTTTCAATAATTGGGTCTTGATACTGATTATAATCTCTCTTATTCAAGTAATTATTAATATCCTCTCTTTTTTCAGGCTTTGTCATGTCTAGTGCAAATTGCATCAGTTAGGCGGTCTCTCTTCTGTACAACAGAGCGCGCTAAATTCCTCACACATCTTGTCAATGGAGTTCGAAATATTCTTTTATCCCCCCAGGTCAGTCAATCACTTACTCACCCGGTTTTTGCAGTATCCAGTCTCCTGAATTATGTTGTCAATAATGTAGCACCTACAAAGAAAAAGCTCTCTTTTTCTAAAATCCTGGGTATCTCAAATATTCAGATGTGAATGATGTAGATAGACCTTTGTTTGATGAACAAGTCAGGCTTGCTTCACTTATACTTTGGCCCGCTATTGTAACCTTTGCTTGATTTTTAGTTTTCCATTATTTTTAAAATCGATTACTGACTCACATTAAATTTATAACCTGATAAAGGTCCTCTCTTAGCTGTGAACACTACGACCTCATCGCTTTTCATGAATTATTCTTTTTAGTGGTAAAGCTAAGTCATCTATGTTGCCTTACTACAGATTTCCCTTGCACACTCCTGATGGCTTTAAGATTGAAAGCCTCAGCTCTCATTTCGCTCCCTCGATTTAACCAGTTCACGGCACATTGTACTTGTACGTCTATTCTTGCTTGATGTCTGGCAACACTAAACCTTAAAGGCTGTAGCCTTGAGGATCTTGAGGACCTTGGAGATCATAAATCATTGATCTTGTTGCAGCTCTTTTGTATCTCAACTCAAACAGTTGAAGATAAGTAGAAACACAAAATCTTCACGGTTGTGAAATGTATGAAGACAAAGAATAATTGTAGAACCAATCAGCAGATTCAAAATCTGAAAGGTTTAACCCCTTAAAGCCAAGAATTTAATACAATTACTCTCTAATTGAACACATTTAAAAGTTTACTGAATTGCTCGTATGTGGAAGATCTGACTTTTCAAATTAAATTCCTCATCCACAGAAATATCTATGCAGGAGTGAAATAGTTTGGACTCTGTTGATCAAGCTTTGAAATTTTTTTTTCAGGGTTTGACAGATGCAGGAAATTACCATGAATTCTGTCGGCTTCTCGCAAGGCTCAAGTCAAATTATCAATTAGGTGAATTAGTAATGGTAGAGAGTTATCCAGAAACAATTAGCCTTATCGCCAAGTTCACAGTGGAAAGTTTAAGGGTAAGTTTCGGTTTTTTTTTTGTATAAATTTTTGGTGTAGCAACATCAGAAAGTCTTGTGTTTTGGTAATACAAGCTGGCAGTAATTTACTGAAATAAGCGTCTTGCTAAAATTCAAATTCAGATGTAAATCATCTTACTGAACAGTGCAACTATAATTGATCAGGATTTGAAGTTTTTGTTAGGTTATACTTGTTTGAGGTTTATATCGGAATTTTTTAATGCCAAGAAATTAAATAGGTTTTTTCTCTCTTTCTTTTTCCCTTGGACATGGCTTTTTGTCAGGAACAAACATCCTCTAGCAAGTTGTGCAAGCTCATTTCACAGTGAGTAAATTATCCGAACGGTGAAGTTAATTCTTTCCAGAAATTATGAATGTTAAATCAAGAATGGAACTTCATGTGTGGGAAGCTTATAAAATAACACTAATGTAATATATTTTATTTTAACTCCTTGCATATTTTTACTAAAGTCTTTAATATTTTCTGATCTTTTTCAGATGTGGCAGTTTGCTCCTAACAGTGTGCACTACTTACTTAGTTTGTGGCAGCGCATGGTAGCCTCCGTACCGTACGTCAAGGCTACTGAACCTCACAAGCTTGAAGCTTACACGCCCGAAGTTACTAATGCTTACATAACCTCAAGACTGGATTCAGTTGCAATAGTTGTCAGGTGAGCAGCTCCTAATGTGCATGACGTTTTGGTACAGTACGAGTTGTTTTTTTATCAGGACCACAGAAAATGTTAGACCTGTGTGGGTTTTCAGTCTAAATGGATTTTCTCTTTTTTGCTTTGTTGCCTTGAATTTTGCGCTCTTACTTGGAAAATTCACTTCTCATTATTAATGTGCATACAAAGTTCCTTTATATCATCTGAAAAAATAAGGCAGCCATTCACTTCGATTCAGTAACCAAAAAGATGTCCTTTTTACATCTGGAGCATTAGAAACACTCATCACTATCACAACTGTGTATGAGGCCATCAGAAGGCGCTTACCTGCAAGTACCCGTCAAGTTTTTAAGAGACGGGAGTAGTTGGCACCTATTTTTTGCCCAGTATTGGAGAGGGATGGAGGGATGTATGCAAGAGCCAGTGCCTGCATGTGTAGAGCGGTGTCTTGGTAGACTTGACTGTTCTCGAAAATCAAGACAAAGTTTTTGCAGCTCAGCTCAGTGCTTATTTTGAGTTCTTTTCCTAGAAATTGGTAAAACAGAGTTAGTGTCTATGATGTAAGAACTGTGATAGGTATAGACAGCGCCACAATGAGAAGACCATTTTGCATGAGTTTGCACCATCATGCAGCCCAAGGCAAATATTAAGTACATTAAGTTATCATGATATTACAGCTCTTAGCGCGCACAAAATTGGGTGCCTTTAATTCATGCCAGGAATTCCTTCCCTGCGCGACGCGATGCGCAGGCCCTCCGACCGCCCGGGGTCCTCGCCCCCTGGCTATCCGTAGAGGGTGCGATTCGCGCGGAACGGCTAGTAATATCTTCATTATTTATTTGTTCCGTAGTGCGATTAGGTGATATATAGCCCATTTAAAACTCATCTTTAGTAACTCTTACCTAACTCAGCCTTCTAACTTTATGTTCTCTCAGACAAGTACTGTTTAAATCATGATCAATACATGATAACCAACAATTCTTTAATTTCAGGGATGGCCTTGAAGATCCTCTTGATGATCTAGGGATGGTGTCTCAGCAACTAGAGCAGCTATCTGTGATCGGGCGGTGTGAATACCAGAAGACTTGTTCCCTCCTTGTTACCTTATTTGATTCCAATGCTAGGCTCTACGAGCAACTTGTTCCATCTCCGACCACATCACAATTAGAGATCTCAATTCAAGAAGGTATTCTTATGGAATGATAATACTAATTTATTTAAGTCGAATGGTTCATAATGTTTTTTGCTCAAGGATCTTTACAAAATCTCGGGATGTATGTTGGGTCTGTATAAAAACGATGCCAGGTGAACAAAATGTTACGTTTATTTCTCTGAAACTTTTGTTGAACAAAGATTAATTGCAATCAATTAAGCAATCAGCTCAAACACATTGAATGTTTGCTATTGCAAAAGTCATGATAATCATATCTCATGCGCCTCAGTGTGCGTTTATCATTACATTTCACATTTCAACTGATTATTTATGTCTGAACATAAACTTTTACTTTCTCAGGTCGTCTAACCTGGCTCGTATACATCATCGGGGCAGCAATAGGAGGTCGAGTTTCAATCAACTGTAACGAAGAGCATGACGCCATGGATGGAGAGTTGGTTTGTCGGTCAGTATAAAAAATCACCCAGTCCAGTAAATTATGTTTAAGTAAACAAAAAATCCTACAACACCAGTGGGTGATCATTGATTCTTGGTACATTTCAATGGAACTTTATCAGGCTAACTTTTTAGATTTAGAGGCCCCAATCAATGTTGCATCTTTTAGCTCTGAATAATCAGCTCTGCCTATTAGTCATAGCTGCAGTACATCGTCTCCACATGAAAGTGCATGTACAAATTTCATAAAATTCAACTTTTACCACTGCTCTTCCTGAAAGTTCTTCTTGTGAGTGGCATCACTCACAAGTATTTCAATTTTGAAGGCTCATTGTGTTTAGCAGGTTGCAAATAACATCATACCAAATGATAAAGAAATTGGTGGTTTTATGCTCATCAGTTACCTTAGCTTTTACTATGTATATCGAACCAATACTTTCTGTAGAAGATAGCACTTTGATTTTTATGTCAAGAGTATTCATCATGCATGTTAACTTTAACAGGGTCCTACAATTGATGAACCTCACTGACTCAAGATTAGCGTCTGGTGGTTGTGAAAAGCTGGAGATGGCAATGCTCAGTTTCTTTGAACAATTTAGGAAGATATATATCGGTGATCAAGTTCCAAAAAATTCCAAAGTGTACAGAAGGTTGTCTGATGTCCTGGGTCTGGCAGATGAAGCCTTAGTTCTAAGCGTGTTTATCCGGAAAATGTAAGTTTTCTAATTCTTTTAAATAGTTAGAATTTAACCGGTAGCAGTAAGTGAGCTGTATATTTTGAAATGCACTCTTGTCTGGCTTTAAAAGCTCATACATAAACAGTTAAAGCTGCAAGTGTGGAAGAAGCCAAATAGCTAGTCTGTGGTTGTGTATCTGGTTCAAAAGTTCAGAGGGCAAATTTACTATTTTGTTAGCCTTAAAATTAAGATGAAAATAGAAATTAATCTGTCTTAGATACCTCGCTTGTCTTACTTTGTGAAAGTTCGTCACCACATTGCCATTGTTCGGCAGAATTAAAAAAAAATAAAATGATCTCAGTCTACTAGGAACTTCAATAGGACGCAATCAATTTCTTCTGTTATTATGGCTGAGGTATATATGTATGTGTATAACAATCGATATTTATGAAAGACCTAGAAATCATTGTAGATTATTGTATTATTATGAAAAAAGTATTTAATATATTCAAGTGTTAAAAGCTGAAAATGCGTCCATTATAATCCTCTAAAATGAAAATAGATTATACTTAATGGATCAGTCAATTAAAAAGATGGTTTCCTTTTTTATTTTTTATCAATTTTTTAATCAGATTACAAAATATTTGATCAATAATGTATGAGGTGCATTCCATTTCAATCCCCTTGGGGGCAAGGAGGTTTTAATGGAAGGTCAGGGAAAAGCATAAAATGCCAGGGGAAAGTAAGGGAATTGGAAAATGAATGAATTAAGGAAACCCTGTTATGTGTATTTTCTTTATTTTTACAAGGTGATGTAAGCAGCAAAAAACATTTGGATAAATATTGCAAGATTTTCTTATCACAATTCTCATACATTTTCACTCTCATTTTATCCAAGCTAACACAATTTATGAGTGTACATAATTTTGCAACGTTGAAATGCAGTAAAGTTCTATTCCGTGAGTAAAGACAATACATATGAATTCAACCGGTGAGTCTTTGTGGAATTCTGATCTTATTTTAACATGCTTAATTTTTGTCAATTTTATTTTCAGCATAACAAATTTAAAATATTGGAGTCGAAGTGAACAAGTAATTTCAAAAACTTTGCAGCTACTTAGTGACCTGTCCGTTGGCTACAGTTGTGTTCGGAAACTCGTCAAACTAGAGGAAGTACAATTTATGTTAAATAATCACACGGTAAGTGCTGAATCTTCCAATTATCTACCTCTTAGTTCCAAGAACTTTCTTTGAATTTCAAACTTTGAGGTTTGTTTCTGCAGATTTATTCACGATAAAAAGTCAAATTACTCCTTTTGATTCCTTTGGGTTAGAGAAAACTGAAATGGAAGTGACAGAATCAGAACTCTTTTAAGGATCATGAATTTTTTTTTTTTTTTTTTTTTAACAACAGGAGATGAAAGATTGTTTTGATTTCTTCTCTGAAAAAACAAGTAACCAAGTTGAAAGTGTTTATAGATGGAGGCTTTCCTGACTAATTATAAACGATTTTGTAGGCCATTTCATCATGAGAAGTTCCCAAAGACAAGGCCATATGTGATCAATGTCCATGTCATTTGTTTTTTGTCACTGCCATCTTAGGCCAATACTATAGAAGAGAGAGTTTGAAATAGGCTTTTCGGTGGTAGTAAATAGAGGTATTTCTTGTTTTTGCCAGAAATAATCGGCCAGATCTCCTCACAAGATGAGCCGTGAGTTGGCCCAAGTACCTCTGAAATTGAGGGGCTGGGTGTGGGAAGGGCACTTCTTGGTTGAGGTGTCTCAGAATTTCTGCTAGCGTTTTATCCATCATGATCCAAGCAAATGTTATAATTAGTTGGAACTTCTACTGTATATTCTTTGTGATTTTGTAATGTTCCAAACGAAAAATTTTAGAGAATTTGCTCTATGGTTTCTTTCTTACAGTTTAAATTAGCAGTAGAGATTTTAAAATGACGCAACCAAGAAGTGCCTTTTCTGTAGCCTGGGTAGACTATTCATGAGGATTCTGACTCTGTTTAAAGGATTCCTGAACTGATTTTTTCCTTGTCATTAATTTTGTTTTTTCTTCCCTTTTTCAGAGTGAACACTTTGCATTTTTAGGAAACGGCATAGCTGTCAGTGAAATGAGATGCAGATCTATGTTTTACACATCCCTCGGACGTCTCCTTATGGTTGAACTTGGAGAGGATGAAGATCGGTTTGATGTGTTTATGCTTCCTCTGACAGGTGAATTTTTGTTTGTCAACCGCATAACTTTAATGCTCTCTAATTGATCAAGTAGTGACATACTTTTCAATCGATCAAAAATCAGGATTTTGTTTTGTGGCTTTTCTGGAAGTTTTTGTAGGCATCAGCAGTTGCCTGTACAGTGTCATGGCAAATGACACTACCAGTGCCTTATTTGATGGCGGCAAAGGGTTCACCAATCACACCAACATTCAAATTAGAAAAAGAAAACAAGTATATTTAGTTCTCAGATACCTGTTTCACAAGTGGAAGCATTTAAACAAAAGAAGTCTTTCTGTATTGAGGGTTTACAAGAAAGACCTTCGTGAAATAGGATAAGAGTGCATTAACATTTGTTAAATAAGGATGTACACCAAATAGGAAGGAAGCATGGCTCCAGTCAAGCCATATTAAAATGAGCATTCTGTAACCACTTAGAACACCACTAAAATTCAGAGGCAGTTGGTCGTTTTAAACTCTCTTGCAAATAGAATTCTTTTGCGTAATGTAGTTCCCACTTGAAGCAAGTTGGACTCCTTAGTGTATGCTCGGTGGTTATTCACATTAGTGCCTAGTTTCAGTTTAGTTGCCTCCGTCTTGAATTTTGGAGGATTTTTAGTTTTCTAAAAATTGATCTATCATTGCTCTTGTTTCAATATATAGAATGTATTTCAAACTCAATCATCTTCTTTTCAGCTGCTTTCGAATCAATAGGTGCAATGTTGAGAATGGCTGACACTCCAGTTTTCCAAGCAGAAGAAGCAAAAAAAGCTCTGATCGGGTTAGCTCGAGATTTGCGTGGTCTAGCCTACGCTTTCAATACGAAGGCCTCCTATGTGCTGCTATTTGAATGGATGTATCCTTTTGAACAATTTCATCATCTCTGTTATTAATAGACTTCCCGTCCGGCAACGGCCAAAAATAACATTGCCACAACGTTGCCGCAACATTATTTTTGGCAGTTACATTGTGACAACATTTCCGCATCTACTTCAGGCAACCACTTGCCGGGCGGGTTATTTGGTTTAGACCTTTTCAGAACTACTAAGGATGTTGTGGTGAAGTCCTCTTGTGCCACTCACTCAAGATATTGTTGTCTTTCAATGCATGAATTTAAACTTCCTGGTCTTAAATATACTGAATTTACTCCAATTAAATTGCTCTCTAAACGTTACTGTAACAGTCTCAGCGGTATAAAAATGTAGCAACCTCAATTTTGGTGCCTCCGCTCAGCTGTTACATGTTGTTTACATTTCAGAAAACACAGGGTGGAAAGGAACACTGTTCCATTGAAAAGCCTGCCACAACGGTTGTAGAGCGCGTTTTGATGAATGCAGATTTTATAATTTTTTTTGGTGGAAAGATTTTGAGAGTACCGCAGTAGAGCTATGGTCAATCAATAAAATATTAAAAAAATCAGACTATTGAGTGTTTTATTATTTCATTAGTTGAACGCACACTCTGCTTTTTCTTGTGAGTGGGAAATTGAAATTTTTCGCAATCAATCCAAAATCAGAATGTTAAGATTTTGGTTAGGAGTCAATGGTAGTAATTTTCGTTAATTTAGTTCCATGAATCGTTTTTACATGAAATTTTAAGGAGGAAACACATCAAAATGCTACAACTCGCACCTTTTCCAGTGGTCCACTCCACCCAAAGTAATTTTTTTCTGCATCAAGCAACTGAAGTGTTGACTTGAGATTGTGTTGCCTCTACTTTTTGTTCTTATCATCTGGAATTGAATGAGATTTTCCTCAACTAATTTGTTTAGATACCCTGCCTACACACCTATTCTACTGCACGCGTTGGAACTATGGTACAGAGAACCTCAAGTTACCACTCCTGTGTTAAAACTGTTTGCTGAATTGGTTCACAATCGATCTCAAAGGTTACAATTTGATGTGTCCTCTCCTAATGGTATATTGTTATTTAGGGAAGCTAGTAAAATACTTTGTACTTACGGTAAGCACCAAATTATATCTAATTTTTATAATTGGGTTTCATGCATTGTTAGTCTTTCATGCTATCTTACCCCTTTCCGGTCCGCAGCAGTTTTCCACAGCCGCCGCGGCAGGTCCGCGTCTGTTGTCAACAAAGACAGTGGTTTCCAAAGGGTCCACCAGAAGCCGCCACTTGCTGGAGCAGTCGAATATACCCGACATCGGGCCTGCGCACAAGTTCAAACTTTTGGGCGACTATATCCGACATCGGATCTGAACGTGTTATTTTTCACGGCGGACATATCCGACATTGGACCGGAAAGGGTTAGATCTGTGAAAAATCTGTTAGGAAGGAGCAGCATGTCATCCATTTCCACTGATGTAGGTTAAAAAAACCTACTTCTGTAGAAAACAAACTGCATCGCGCTGTGCTGAGCGAACACTATCATTTCTATGCATTCGAAGAGCATGTTGTCAAGTTAGCGGTTCTACAGATAGTGTGGCACTGGAAAGTATATAATGGTTTTGAGTAGCCAAAAAGTTAAAAATGGCATCAAGATGCATTAGAGTCTTTTCTTATGTGCTGTGTAAAGATATAGATTCCCCTCTGAATTACTAACTGTTCTGCTGAGAGAAAGAAAAACGGAACAGGGGCTTGCTTTGTGCTTGCAAAGCTTCGCTTACTCTTAGTTTAAATATTTTACTCACTGACAAGTGCTGCAGTTATTTTATTGATCTCTCAAATCTCCCTAATTTCAAGTTCAGTTTTTCAAGAAAGCAACATGCGTAGCTTTTTTTATTTGTTTCTTGCTCAGTACTTTACTGTGTCAAGTCAGAGAATGTTTTTTTTTCTAACTTAAACCTTCCTCTTAGAAATTTTCCTCTTGTTTATTGTAGTGAGCTAGAGGAAACATACCCATTTTTACCTCATTGATGAAGAGATTGCTTGCTTCAACTAATAAAGTCCTTGGTTATTTTTTTCTTTTACAGGAAGTAGAGTGTTAACAATTGAAGTGCCCAAAGAACAAGCGTATCCAATGAAGTTGAAAGGAATATCAATATCCTTCTCAATGTTGCGAGCTGCCATGTGTGGAGGTTATGTTAATTTTGGTGTATTTAGACTCTATGGAGACACAGCCTTAGACAATGCCTTGAAAATTTTTATTAAAATGCTTTTGTCTACTCCTCTCTCAGATCTACTGGTAAGGAATGTTTTTAGTTTATCAATTTTTGCTTTGAGTTGAATAATGGAGATGTGGATCTAATCAAAAATAGGTAACAATATTTGGTTCAGTCAGACTTTTAATTTTTTTTTTATCCTTTTTTTACTCAATGCCCTTAATTCACTATTTTTTTTTTAATTCACTTTTATTTCTTTTTTATTTTTACATATCTTAACATTAAGCGTTGTAAATGTTCGCAAGCTTAAAGATGTATGCTTCTTTCTCAGTGTACAATTTTGAAGGAAAAATTTCAAAATTTTCAATTAGATCTTGTCATCACGACAAATATTATTCATGAAGAAGAGAGGAAAAAATGTTCCACTATGAAAATTTTCAACATCAAGCATTGCAACTTAGGGTGCTATTGATATGGACCCCTTTTTTTCTGATGTTGGCACCTTTGATGTTCACTCAGTGAATATTCAGCCACCGAAAAGTTTGAATTACATATTTATTTTTCAATTCATCGGAACATCTTAAAACAAGATCAATCAGTTACTTTATTAATTTTTATTTTCTTTTTCAGGATTACCCTAAGCTGTCTCAAACCTATTATGTTCTTCTGGAATATCTTGCCCAAGACCACATGTCATTTCTCGCCACGCTTGAACCGTCTGTATTTTTGTACATCGTTTCATCAATATCAGAGGGTCTTACTGCATTAGGTGCGAACCCAGTATCTCATACAGGTATCAAATCAAAGGCTTTTAGTGGGACAGTTGTGATTATTTTTTTTCATCTAGATTACTTTTAAAATTTAAAGTTTTTCAAAACTATTTTTCGAATTGGTGTCGTACAAAAGTGTGTCTTAATTTCTTTTCGTGAGCGTGTTTAACACCATCCCTTCCTATACACTTGTCATATTCAGCTGCTTTAGTTTAAATTATAATTTTTGGAGCTCGTTGAATGCAGCTTTTCTAAGACTGATGAGTTGGGCTGAGTTAAATCTCACTTCTTTTAGGAACTGGTGATCAATTCCTTTAGTATTTCGTTGAATCCATTACATATTTATGCTTAATACTCTGTCTCAGCATTTAAATTAGGCCAAAATGAGATATGCAGTGACTTGCTCAAAAAAACACAAAAAAAAAATATATATACACAGCTCAAAATTTAGTGGAGGCAAATCCATGTATCTCTAAATCAAATTGGTTTGTGTGGAAACGACTATTGTCCTTGTTTCTAAATTTTGAGAAAATTAATAGCCCTAGAAAGTTAGACGTTAGATATTTCTTGCATGAGCAGAATCAATTACTCTCTTCATTTACATTCACTCTCCCTTCCTAACACACAATGCATGTTTGAAAGTGAATGATATCATTCTTCAACAGTTAAGGCGAATTTCTGCGGTAGGATTTGTTTAAGTTTTTGGATGAATAACTGTTTTATCACCCTTGGACTTTTAACCAATCAGAATCAAATATTTAATATTCAACCAAATTCTGAATTAGGTTAAAAAAGTGCATCAGTCGGTCCATGTAACTTGATGTAAAAATATACAAGTGCCATAGTTACAATAATATAATACACACAATTCACAATATTTACACCTTATTTACTTATTTGCACTATGTACAATACAGTCGCTACGAAACTTTCACCTCGATCATCACTCTACCGCAATTTTGTCGGAAATATTTTATTCTTTGTTGTTTTTGGTGAAATTCTTTACTCGTATCTACTGCTTCACCCACCTCCAGAGGTAGGTCAAGAAATTTTTGATTTTGTTCAGCTCAGCAGACTAGTAAATTGGGTTGGAAAAACATGCTGTATTCGATGATTTGGTAAAAAAAATGACTAACAGGGTCTCATAGTAGTGACAAGCACTGATGATTTGCATTTAGGTCTCCAAGCAGTTTAAACATAATTAAAAGTTTTTCATATAATCTTAATTTGTATATTTTTTTGCTCATGATGTTCACTAAGAAAACGGTGGGAAAAAAAATTATTTTCTGCTGATCGCTAAGGTCCATCCATCAAGATTCAACTATAAGACATGGGCAACTATTTTATTCCCTCTTTACACGCACTTCTGTAGTAATGTTGAACTCTGAATATCATTTCAAAAAGAATTAAGATGGTATCCAATGAGATGAATTTTTTTTTTCCGGGAAAATTCTGTTTTGTTTTTTAATTTTCCCTAAATGCTGATTTCACAATCTGTTCTTTTCCTTTGAACTTTTTTTTTTTTTTTTTTTTTTTTTATTTATTTATTTTTTCATTTTTCTGCAGGCTTTTTCCACCCCACAATGCGGGCAATTGAAAAATAACTTTGCTAAAATTTCTTTTGTACGTAGTTACTTTTCAAAGAAATTCTCTGTTGGAACTCCTCTACAGAGCCTTCGGAAAAAATCAGAAAAACTGAGAACAAAGCACATCATCAACGAAATATCATTACCACTCCTTTGATGAGTTTCTTGGTGAGGGTTTGAAAATTGAAGTTACTTATCAAAGGATGTTGTAATTTTTTATTGCATTATTGCGTATTTACGCACTCTTGGTCACTATCCACAGTTTAAATTCGGTGTCAGCCATAACACTTTGTCTCCACCATTTTATTCATATAATATGATTTTGTTCCACTGAAGCCTCGGATTTGTTTGCCTTTATTTTATTTTCCTTAGTTTTATTTTCATTTTATCTTTTAGTTCTGTTCCTTTTAAATTTGTTGTCTCTCTGAAGTATTTCATCTTTTTCAGAAATCATTTCATAGCTTTTTATTATGTTATCAGTTTTAATCTCTTTTGAATTGATATTTCATGTTTGGATGTTTTCTATTATATTTTAAGTAAGTATACATTTTCCATTTTTTGTTCGTTTATCGCTCCCAATCTTTGGCTTCTTATACATTTTCATGTTCTTTTTGTATGTACATTTTTTGACGACTGACGTCATGAATAAAATACATAGAATTTTAAAGGAGCTGTCTCACAAATTAGTAAATTTTCAGTGTATTTTTTTTCTCTCAATCAAAATAATTTTTTTACATAAATGTGTTATTTTCCAATTAATGAAAGCACCACTTTTTCAATTCAGAGGAAAGCATGAAGAAAGCGTTACCTTATTTTTTGCCAATCTTTGAAAGTACTCCTCCTGAATGAGAATATGTTTTTCAAAAATCTCAGTTTGGCTGATTTTGTGGCACTTTTGCTAACTGGAAAATTGCATGTTTGAGTAACGTTATGTTATTTAAAAATTTTAACCTGCCCCTTAAGTTGTTGGATCACTACAATTACTTTCTTTTAATTAACCCTTATTATTCCTTTGCCCAATTAATTTTTACTTTTTCATTGTTTTCAGATACGATGGTTTGTACAGGTTGCTGCGCTACTCTTGATTATATTGTAACCTATCTTTTCAAACAAATCACCAACAAAGGTCAGTTTTGCCCCCGAATAACAATTTCTTTTTTCGTAATTTTAATTTTCAAGGGTTTATCATTTAAGTGGTTTGTATACATCTTTGTGAATTCAGCAATCAGAACATAAAGAAAGAAAATTAAAAGAATTTTTTTTTTTTTTTTTGAAAAAAACATTTCAGAAATTGATTCTAGACCTGTGACTTATTCAATTACGTAAAAAGAATAATTTAGACATTTTTATACTAAACAATATTCTGCAAAGCAAAAATATCTGGAACTTTCATCCTGTCTCAGAGGCACAGAGACTCCTTGAGTCCTCGATTATGTAACGGCTGGGATTGGTGATTCTTATACTAGCAGAGTGCTCTAAAAATCGCAGCAATTCGTAAAGAAAGAGAAGGGGGGGGGCGGAAAACAGTTTGTAAAGGCTAAGAACTCTCTGCCCGGCCTGTTGAAGATAATGTAATAAATGTATTGACAATGAACTGCACCAATTACTTACATACATACATATAGAGCCGCTACCTCAGCACACTAGAGCGCTCTGCGACTCCAAATCGCCATCGGAATCGATCCTCCCACAAATCATCGGGCAGATTACACCGTCTGATCTCCCCCTCCACTCCCTCTGCCAACCTTTTACTGGACGTCCACGCCGCCTTCTTCCGGGAGGAACCCAATTACTTTATTTTACATTTTTTTATTTGCACTAGACTGAGCTTTCAAACACTATTTCAGGAATATTTTCATTTTGCAAAAATATGTACATTCTTTCTTTTGTGAGTTCGACCCGATCCTGGGAGGTCAAATGATATTTCAAGGAAAAAATGGACCCTCAGATAAGGTGTGAATTGAAGTGTTGTGTTACATGTTTTCTTATCAACGTTTCACGCAGAAATCGATTTGTAGAATGAAAATTATTGATGTCAACTCCAAACCAAGATACTAACATTCTTCAATGCATAAATTCTAAGTTCCCGGTCATAAAAAAACCATAATTTACTTGAGTTAAATCGGACGCTAAGCGTTACCCTGAAGGTCCCTGTATTGTGAATATATGACGACAACCTGACTTTGCTTTTGTTTGACTATTGTAAGTTGTTTATACTCTGAACAACACAGGGCAGGAGAGGAACTGTGTATATTGAGAAGCCTGCCAAAACAGTTGTCATGTGCCTTTTGATTCAAGTAGACACATGTTTTTCTAGTGAGTGGGAAATTCAAATTTTTTGTAACGTTTGCTTAATAAAATAGTTAATATTTCAGTTAGAATATAATATCAGTGATTTTCGTTCCTTCAATTGTGTTTTCCATGAAATTTTGAAGAAGAATGACTTATCAGAATGCTCGAATCTGTACTTTGTCTGGTGGTCCATTATTTGTTAGAACATAGCAGAGTATAACCATTGTAATTTTTTTTTATTCCATTGTTGTAGGTAAAAAACCAAGAAGAAATCAGCCAGTTCCAAATGATATGTTCCTACAAGTATTGGAGCTTCATCCAGAAATCTTACAACAAATCCTCAGCACGGTTCTCAACATAATCATGTTCGAAGAATGCCGAAATCAGTGGTCAATGTCAAGACCTCTTCTCGGTCTCATCTTGCTCAATGAAGAAGTAAGCTCTCAAAGAATTTTGTCTCCCTGTCTGCTGGTTTTTTGAGTAGTTTGCGTAGTTGTATCCATGCACATATTCATATAAAAATAGTGCCCATCATTGAAATACCTGTCAAGGAACATACTGCCGTGTTAAGGAAGAACGCCGTATGAACATTCGAGAGTTACCAAATTCCCTTCGATAAAATGCTCATTTTTCAGGAAAGTTATGAATATTTTTCCTTGAAATTTTCAGGAACTTTAGGTGAAATTGCGCGAAAAATTCTCTGAAAAATTGGAAAGAAAATATTCATAAGCTCACCAGGAAATTCATTTTTTATCAAAGAAAATTTGGCAAGGCCTGGAGGCTCATACGGCGTTTCTCCTAAGCACGGCAGCATAGTAGTTTATATTGTACAGAGGCCCCTTTGAAATTAGTCAGTTGCGTTTGTCACAGAATCATGTTTTGATGATTTAAGCTCATAAGTAAGTAAAAATAAAGGAGATCTATTCATATGTAAAATTTCAGTGTTCCATATTAGCGGTAGGTTTACCCATCAAAAAACACAGGGTATGACATCATCCTCCGCGGCGGTGCACATCATAGTTTCTTTCACCTTTCTTTCATCTGTGTTTTTGTCAAGCAACAAGAGGAATTGAATTTGTCACTGCCATCAAAACACGATTCTGTGACTAGCACATTAGACCGATTTGAGAGAATTCTCTCTTAAATAGCCCATGTTTGTTGAATACTGTGTGTAGGTATTCTTCAAGCTTTGCCCAAAACATGAAGGCCATAGGTAATATATTCTTCAACCTCTCTACTTACTAATGTTTATTAAATATGTTCCTTTTATTCATCTATTTAAATGTAAATGCTGATTCATTAGCACAGTACTTGAATATTATTAAATGTATTCTTCTACCTCTCTACTTACTAATGTTACCAGCTAAAATTATTGTCCTTATGTTTTTAACAATTACAGGCATCAAACTGAAGTTTTCAGAGAATCATAAGATTAGGCTCACTAAATTTTCCACAAGATTATTGTAAAATTTTCCGATTGTAATTGAATACATAGTATGTATTATTTTTTCTTTTCAAGATAAAACAGAGTACACCTGTAACGTTTGAAGTACCTTAATCAAGCTACATTTTTTTTTTAACTAACTTGCAATTTTTCTTAACATTATATCTCTTCAACTCCTTCATTTTATTCTAAGAAAAAACCTCTGGCTATGAGTTATGAGCAAATTAAATAATTATGATCTATGATTTTTTTTACAGTATTTCAACCAACTGCGAGAAAATATTATCAGAAGTCAGCCGCCAGATAAGCAAGCAGCCATGGCACAGTGGTTTGAAAATTTAATGGATGGAATCGAAAGAAACCTACTAACTAAAAACCGTGACAGGTAAACATACTGGTGTCTTCTTCATTTAACTTGATGGCTGGCAAGGCTCTTCAGTCCTTGGTCTCACAAGGCTAGGCTAGGGTATAGGGACTGGTGGTAGTGCAAGCTTCAGCTGGAAGCTTGCATAGCTTCCCAAGTGTTCAAAAAATGTATCACTGCTGTCCTATTTTGATTTCTACATTCCTCGCCAATTTTCTGTAGACCCCCCAGAACTGGACTCTTGGACCAAACATTCGGTTGGTTGCAGAAGAAATCTACAAGCCCCATCGAGGAGTTTTGAAAATGTGAAGGCAAAAAGGACCATTTTATACAAATTCTGGTAGGGAGAGCAGGAGAAAAATCACCCTCCGTCTCAGCTTTTGATGCAATATGAATAGATGCGTAACATGTGGCATTGTAAGATAGACGCAGCTCCCTTGAAGAATGGAAGGGGGGGGGTCATAGTTTCAGTTCCCCTGACGGATGGAGGAGGGGGGGGAGGTTGTAGTTTTAAGAGATGTGGCGCTTAGTGCCCTTAAATTGTGTAAAGAAATTTGGGATCATCATAAGTACATGAGGAGTGTCTCCGGAGGTATGTTGATGCTATGAGATGATCGTCCAAAAAAAAGCGATTTTCTTATCAGTGGTGCTGAAAATGCGTGCCCGGGCAAGTGAAAATGTGGAAAGGCCCTCACAAATATTAACAAATATGGAAGTAGGGACAATTTTTAATGGTCAAAAAATAAAAATCAAAGGACAGTATAGGTATAAGGTCCTCGCTACTGAAATTGGTGGGAAATCTAGCGGAAAACTGATGAGAAATGTGTTGAAAGTTGGCGGGTGCATGAAAACATGGAAGATTCTACACCCCTGCTTTAAATTCACTTCTATAGGTAAACACTTCATTTGTGAAATATTCATGAAATATTGTTTTTAGTTATTATAATTAAATTTTTCTGGTTTCAAGAATCTTAAATTTTACAATCGCTTGATTTGCAGGTTGTGATAACCTAAATTTATACCCAAAACAGAGAAATCTTGCTTTCCTCCGTAAGATTTCTTTCTATTTTTAGGGATGCAGAAATTCCTTAGCCTTTCCATTTTAAAAATCCATTTTTCCCTCCTAATTGCCAAAACTATGACCTGATTTTCGACTTTTATTCACTGGATTACCATAATTTTATGAAAAACACGCAAGTGTTAAAGGGACCTAAAAAAAATAAATAAATACTCGTAAATACATCGTTCTGATGCTTCTGCAAGCTGGCCTCCCCATTTTTCACATGAGTGGCCCAGCAATCATTGCCCTACGATCATGACTGAAAAGTTTCTGCACCCCTGCCTTTTTATGAAACAATTAGTATGCCAGTATTTTCCAAGGTTTGTTTTTAGACCTGTAATTTCTAATCACTGCCACTTTTCATTTTCAGGTTCACCCAAAATTTATCAATGTTCCGAAGAGATATTAATGATTCGTTGAAAGGCCCAAATACAACTGTGCCGAGTAGTGATATGATGACCTCCTAGTGATCTTTCCTTCAAGACTGCTTTTTAAATCCTTACTTGTAAAATTTTATTCAGGTATATTATTATAGTTGCATATAACTATGAAATCATTGTCACATTTTACTTTGCTTCTCTTGTTTCTTTGGAAAAACTGCTCATAATTTTGCAAGTGTTTTAAGGACTTGTTTTTTGTTTTTGTAAGAATTGTTTCAAAAGTTGAGCATCTTAGGTGCTGTGTTTGGATTTTCATTTTCTAGCTCTGCAATAGCCGTCGATATTTCTAACATATATTCGCAAATGCGAACTTTAGAAATGATTTCATATTTGTATCGCGTCAAAAGGTTTTAATGGTCTACTCTTATAGTAGATGAAAAACTGTATTTTTGTATCATCTGGTTAATGTTTTTATATTTGTATGTATGTAATTATGTTTTTGTTTAAGCATGAAAAGTGGATTGAATACTCCTTGAATTTAATGTTGGGACAAAATTGATTTTTATGTTTCTATTTATTTTACATAGCGTATGTTTGGAAAACATGCAGTTGCATTTTTCATTAAATAATTTGTGAAGAATGAATGATTGTTATTTCATCTGAACTCCTCTCCTGCTCCTAGGTATTCTGTTCGATTCATCAGTACACATTGTTCTGGAACTACATTTTTTAAAGTATGAAATTATTGTTTGATTTAATTCAGATTTATACCAACTTGGTACTATCAATCAACCAAACTCCCTCTTAAAAGTAATTTACGTATTGGTAACATAGACCTTTCAAAATATGCAATCAACATTTTCAAAGAGGCAAATCTTAGTGAAGAAATAAACAAGTTGACCGCCAACGAACAGTTGCTCCATTTAAGTTGTAATGCCATGATCGGCAAGCCTAAAACGTGCTCTGTGCAAACACTCACAAAGCGTTGTCTGGTCAAGCAATAATGAATGCAGGAACACTACTGAACCTTAAGATGTGTACTAGTGATATCTCAAAATTTTAGAATTGGAATATGATAGCAAAGCCATAGGCATTGAATTAATTTGTTGCAAATGAAAGTCTAACACTTGGATAGGTGAGAGTGTGAGGTAGATAAAAAAAATAATGATTTATGACAGTATTTATTTCATTTTCAAGGAAAAGTAGGTAAAAAAAGTTCAATAAGTTTGCAAAGGACTTAGGTAACGAACATTGAATGATGTTTGCATAGGTAACAAAGTTTACAGAAGTTCTTAAATTAGAAATGGCTGGAATCCAAAGGCTGGAGGTGTTTCTGAAGTTCATGCCTCGAATTTTAGTGTGTATGTGGTAGGTTGAGACAATATTTTTCATCAGTTTTTTATTGAGGATATCAATGCCCTAAAAATCTACAATAGTCTTAATTGATGGCTATGAAAATTTTAGAATCAATTGACACCAACTTTGAAACTTACGAAGCATAGGTTTTCACTTCAACTTAAGTATGTGTTCATCAAATATTTTCCTTTCATAAGGTTTTGAAAGTTAGCTCATAATAAAAGTGGTCCGAGGCACCAGGAGACAACTAAATTCCTTCTCCGCCAGTTTTCCTCTGTTTTAATCCTGGCACCAACACACACGAGTTGGCCGAGTCAAGACTGCTTCCTTATTATCAGGTGAAGGCAGAAAGAAGAAGTGTATTAATGCCTAGCATTTTAATCATCACCTAAGTTCTTTGGGGCTTCAATGACAGTGCATGGTTCTTCGCATGTTAAACTTTAGAAACACCTTGCATTTATTTAAAAACACAACAATTAAAAAGGCTCTAAGTATTTCTCATTTAGATGAATGAATCATGAATTAATTGATACCATGAAAAAACAAAAATATTTTTTTTAAGATACCACATGTTCATGGGAGCTGCAGATTTTTTTTTCGTTCAATTGTACAGGTATGAGTATAAATGTATTGAGTTCAGTAGAAAGGAAGCAACTGCATTGCAATGCTGTTAAGATTTGCAACGTTTACTTTGCCATAAATATAACTGAAAGTAAGT